ACGCTTAGGCCTAGGAACTTCAAACTTGGTATGGTGATTGGCCATGACCAGTAGATGATCCCTATTAATTTTGGGGTCAAGGGGTCAAAGGATAAGGTCACATTGACCTTGTAGGTAAAAACGGTTTCCGATTAATAACTAAAGAACGCTAAGGCCTAGGAACTTCAAACTTGGTATGATGATTGGTCATGACCAATAGATGACTCCTATTGATTTTGGGGTCAAAGGTCAAGGTCACATTGACCTTGTAGGTACAAATGGTTTCCGATCAATAACATAAGAACGCTTAGGCCTAGGAACTTCAAACTTGGTATGATGATTGGTCATGACCAGCAAATGAACCCTATTGATTTTCGGGTCAAGGGGTCAAAGGTCAAGGTCACATTGACCTTGTAGGTAAAAACGGTTTCCGATCAATATTTAAAGAACATTTAGGCCTAGGAACTTCAAGCTTTATATGATGATTGGTCATGACCAGTAGATGACCCTTATTGGTTTTGGGGTCAAGGGTAAAAAGGCAAGGTCACATTGACCTTGTAGGTAAAAATAGTTTCCGATCAATAACTAAAGAATGCTTAGGCCTAGGAACTTCAAACTTGGTATGGTGATTGATCATGACCAGTAGATGACCCTACTGATTTTGGGGTCAAAGGTCAAGGTCACATTCACTTGAAGTTAAAAATGGTTTACACTCTATACCTTAAAGACGCTTAGGCCTAGGAACTTCAAACTTGGTATGATGATTGGTCATGACCAGTAGATGACCCCTATTGATTTTGGGGTCAAAGGTCTAGGTCATATTGACCTTGTAAGTAAAAATGGTTTCAGATAAATAATTAAAGAATGCTTAGGTCTAGGAACTTCAAACTTTATATGATGATTGGCCATGACCAGTAGATGACCCCTATTGATTTTGGGGTCAAAGGTCAAGGTCACATTCACCTTGTAAGTAAAAACGGTTTCCGATCAATAACTAAAGAACACTTAGGCCTTGAAACTTCAAACTTTATATGATGATTGGTCATGACCAGTAGATGACCCCTATTGATTTTGAGGTCAAGGGGTCAATGTCAAATTGACCTTGTACTTTAAGAGGGTTTCTGACCAATAACTCAATAAGTCAAGTTGCCATGGTTGATATTTTTATATTAAACTAAAAATGCTTTTGGTATACACATTTGAAGGTCTTATGTAATATAACAACTTGGCTGTCATTAATGAGGCCTACATGATTCATAAAATTTATGCATATTTTATTTGGTAAGATTTGTAATAACTTAAATTGCTGCACACAACCTATGGGGTCACAATAATTATTACCTTGTGACTTGTCATGACCAGTAGATAACCCTTATTAATTTTTTGTTCACTGGGTCAGAAGTCATGCATAATAAACTGATCACATGACTAATTGGCTGCCCATAGGGGGCATACATGTTTTACAAACATATCTTGTTTCTTTAAATGTTTGTATCCCTTCATCACTATAATTTTGTCGCTTAAATTCAGATCCCATGAATACAATCTTTTTATATTTTGGCCTTTATTATATTATTAATTACAACTCAACATGAATTTATCATTTCGACACTGACACACCTTTACAATATAATACAAATATTGACTTGGCCAAATTTAGACAGTTCTTCTTTAAAATGTAAATATAGATGTGGATGTGTATCCTTGTTGCCATTAGAACGTGCTCACGTGGAGGTACATGCTTTAACCCGTACATGTTTTATACCATTGACAATGTAATGTCAACCCCTAAATTGGTATCATGTATTGAAAAAAATAGTTTTGATTAAAACTTAGAAATTCTTATTGTCTTCTAGGAAGCATGTTATCGGATGATCCCGTTTGTTCGTTTCTTCTTGGAAGCATAAATATAGATTTGACTCACTGTCTTATCGATATATATATATATATATATTTATAACTATTATCCGCATATGAATAGATTCCAGCAACATTGTACGTTCTTCTTCTTGGAAGCATAAATATAGATGTGACCCATTTTGTACGTTCTTCTTGGAAGCATAAATAAAGATTTGACTTTAGTTATATTGTACGTTATTCTTGGAAGCATAAATATAGATGTGACCCATTTTGTACGTTCTTCTTGGAAGCATTTATATAGATTTGACCAATTTGTACGTTCTTCTTGGAAGCATAAATATAGATTTGACCCATTTTGTACGTTCAACTTGGAAGCATAAATATAGATTTGGCCTATTTTGTACGTTCTTATAGGATGCATAAATATAGATTTTACCAATTTGTACGTTCTTCTTGGAAGCATAAATATAGATTTTACCCATTTTTCTACGTAAATATGGTCACCATTGAAGACGAGGCGTCATGCGCAAATGTCTCTAATTCAAAGGTCAACATTAAAGGAAAGAATTGAACTTAATTATTCTCATACTGTCTGCTATTTTCAAAAACTTTTTATGTTTTCATTTTTTTTTTTTTTTTTGGTGTTTGGGGATCTTTCCTTTTCAGATTTTTGACTGCAGCTTGTATCTGGTCCTTACTTCCCGCCGCATGCATGATGATATTTCAGGGATTTTTGTGTTTTAAAAAATGCATGATAGCCCTGGACCTAATAAAGATTGAGAGCATTTCTATAATGTGGTTTTGGATGTAAGTTTACATAAACAAACGGTGTAATCTTTAATCATGTATAACGAATGTATATATTTCGTATCCAGAAGAATATAAGTCTATTTCGGTTAAATTACGATAAAAAGTATGTATGACAATAATAATGATTATTAAATGCCCTCTTATGTACAATTTGAACCAAATCCGAATTATTTTTCAGCGGGTAGATATGGAAGGCCATCAGAATTTATGTGCTGCTTAATAAATTTTGTTCAATGTCTATTATACGATGCTATATTACTATTATACTATCCGTCATCTTATTATGCCTGATATTTTGCAATGCTTATGTGTCATTTCGTGATGCTGTAACGTTTTAAGGCTCACTCACCCTGTCGATGAAAAGCAAAATTTTCACGACCACTCCACCAAGAGTGGTCTGTGTCGTTATATATGGTAAGCATTCCCTTATTTCAATTCACCAATTAAGATTTTCATTATCAGTATAATGACGTTCTACCAACGTCGTAAATATGCTTATTTATCATTTTATGATGTTCATTTTTTCATGCAATAAAAGTTTATCTTATACGAAGCATACGTAGCATACCATAAGCATACCTTTGTCGGACCGTATATGTCACTGAACGTATATGTCACATGTGAGGTACATATTCGGCCAAATTATCACAGCTGTGTTTATGTGCCATATACGTTCCTGCAATTCGGTAGTTAATACCTGACCGTGTATGTCACACATTTTACACAGTAAACTATTATTATCATCGTCGTTAATCCTTCATCAACGTTGATAATACATTGGCATCATCGTCATCATCATCAATTACGAAAACAACAACAATTAGATCATCATCGTTACACATCATTAATGATGACATCATCATCGTCATCGTTAACCAGCAATATATTTGTTTAAGTCCATGCCGCCTTGCTTATTATTTTACCAGTAAGATGACAACTGTCTCAATAAACAGTGACTGACTTTGTTGAAAATATGTGCTAAATATTTTGGACATAAATATTTGTTGACTTGACTTTTTATTCATCAACTCTGAGGGGGGGGGGGGTTAAACTTTTTACTTGTCCGTGCGCTTGTGCCTTCGTACGTGCGTCCGTCCGTACCAAAATCTTGAACGTTGTTCCATAAAAAATTAAGTTGTTCAGCATTGTGTCAATGTGCACCTGGGCTTCGCTTGTCGATTCGGACAGTCATGCCAAATTTATTCACCTTGAATTAGTCAAATCGGAAATTATCAACTTGTGTCGCGCGCAGTTTCAAGATTATTTGAACTAGGGTCATGGTCATGATACTTAACACGAATGTAGTTAATCATCTGAGGTAAAGCTGGTCGATTCCTGCAGTAATGCCAAAGAAAGTGTCCTTCACTCACTTTGTACAAAATTGAAATTTATACTTGTGCCGCATGAAGCCAAAACTAGTGCCATATAACTTTACGTCAATATTAGTGAGCATATGACGTTGTGAACATTGGATGTCGCTTGCCGACTTCCCGCATTTATGCTAGAGTTATTGCCCTTAACTTGGTCAAAATCAGCATTTTTTAAACTTGTCATGCATGTTGTTGTTTGTGATTTCATTTGTAAAATTGAAGTGCTGTCATACATATAGCCTTGACTTAGGAAATTTGTGTAAAAGGTAGGTAGTCATGGAATATGTGTCCTTAGGTTTAAATAAAATATAATTGCAATATCGAAGGTAAATTTTCGACTTTTTAGCTCACCTGAGCTAGTTCAGGGTGAGCTTTAAGAATCGTTGAATGTCCGTCGTCCGTCTGATGTCGTCCGCCCACATTTGTTTGTTAACACTCTAGTGGTCACATTTTTGCCTCAATCATTATCAAACTTTGTCAGGATGCTTGTCTAGGAAATTGCCCGGATGGGTTCGAACATAGGTCATCTCGGATAAAAAAACTAGATCACAGAAGCTAAAATAGAAAAATCTTGTTAACTCAGTGGGTACTGTTTCGATTCAACTATCCTTGAAATTCCTCAGCAAGTGTGCTTTGATAACATAAAACTGTTAACATAAGTATTTGACGAGGCATATTCATAAGTAAAATATTGCTAAGTAAACAAACAACCTAATCTACACATTGCAAACTGCACATAATATCAACGTAAATAACCAAAGAGGTTACAATCTGAAAAGCAACCCTTACTGTGTCACGTCAAGCAGTATAAATATGATTATAAATACTTCAGAATCAGTCAGTCATTAATCGTACATAATACTAAGTATGTAAATTATTTAAATTTTGAATAATTTTACTCATGTTTGAGTTTCTTGAAATATTTTGGCTCCACTGGAAGTATGTAGCTTCTTATCTGATAAGTGAGATATCAACTTACATTTTTTCAGCTATTTATTAAATTATACAATTGGTCAAAATGTTGACATGAGTACGATTGAAATTCACAAATTCAAAACATTTCTCAATTTTCAGTTTGTTAGAAGCTTGAGGGAGACGTGGGTCTCAGCATCTTTTACAGATCTCCCTGTAACTTGAAACTTGGCACCAGCTGGGTAGGTTCTCTCATGCTTCATGTACATGGCATATTTCTCAATATTTCGGGGCTGCCATTGGCTGTTTGCTCTGTTATCAATAGTGAAAATAACTGATTGTTCTCCTTCTTGCCCGCATGTAGGGAAAGGTATAGCGTTTTTCATTTCAGTGGACGATGATACGACTGACTGCCAAACAAACCGTTTCCCATTGACATATTGGTCACAATCTGCTTGCGTCAACAACATTTTCCTGTATGTTGTTCTACTTTCCCGTTGTAACTCTGACCAAAATAACAGAAGCATTTGATACATGACAGCGTACGGTCCAAGCGACAGATCATTTCCAGTGGGTAAATATGATGTCTCCCTTTGTCTTCGGAACGCAATATTTAAATACGTGTACATATAGTTCTCCTCCATCGTGTACGTGTTTATAATAGCTTCGAAAAATTCGTTGCGGCTTTTGCTGCTCTTTATCTTCTTATAATTTTCTTCACAAACCACGAAAACTGCGTCGCAGACTTTGTCTCTAACTTCTTTCCAACGACAATCTGATCGATTTATGTCGTTAAAGATATCACCAAGAACCGTAATGACAGATTTGTTAGGATCTATTGTTGTGGGGTGAAATGTTTTCTTATACGCAGCAAGCGAAACAGTTATCAGCCCAAGACCTTCCCCCTGTGTATAATTGTCAACAGACTGAAATGTTGGTGTCTGCTGTGCTTTAACAGAATTTTTGTGTGTAGAAAGAATGCCAGACATCCCAGTATATCCATATGCCTGGGCAATCTGCTCAGCGTTCATTCGATCTGTCCTGCCGCATTCAGATGTGCACTGTTTGGCAAGTATATTCTTATCGCATGCTTGATATCTTAAAAGCTTTCGTATTACATCTTCTTTGTTCCAATAAACTGCTTGATGTAATATTCCCCAACGTCGATTTTCTGGAATAACGTTGAAAAGCCTGTCTCTCAATGGCCTCTCGGGCTCTCCAAGAATGCGCCAGACATTTTGCCATTGGCCCGCTCTTGCTGATGACAGAAGTACTTCTACTAACTCCGCGTCATATTCGATTGTATTTTTTTCTGGTCTCCTAAGTCAAGAGTAAAATATAATTTGTTTTTTTATTGAAATCAAACATTGATATTAACAGACAGACATTTCCTAGCTCTAGCTTTGTAATCAGTTCGGGGTCAATAAGTACAAACCAAAGTAATAGATCTCAGTTTGAAATGACCATATACAAGTATAAATAGTCAAAATTTGCAATTGACCGCCACCCCCCAAAAAGGAACATTTTCCGCGCTCTAGAGCTCTTTAGACGGACTAAAAACGCAAATCGCGTATTCGAGGTTTATTTTGTTAATTTGTTTTGCTTTGTTATTTGGTTTTATTTTCAAACAATTAAAGTTATATTATGCTCATCCTTGAGTAAAATATTTTATTCACAGAAATATATTGAAATCTATGAAGTTCTAACTGAACATGCCTTAATTTGAATAAAAGAATGAATAAACTTTATATGAGAAGCTGTGTCCGTTCCCTATTACATGTCAAGCAAAGTTGGACTTTTCTTTTTAAAAATGCTACTTTTTTAATGACACTTTACATGTTTATTCCTAGTGTGACAACCAATAGTGTGGAGGATTTAAAACATAACATATCTTCTTTCTGTAAAGTCAAGACATGTTTATTTTATATTTTTTTAAAAAAGACTGTGTAGCAATTATCAATATTTTCTAATAGCAGGTTTGAGCATAGTATATCCAGTATATACACAGTCAGCCATGTTTGTTTTCACTTAGTGGGTCCAAAGTGAAGGTAGACTATCGTTTGCAACAAACGCAAGAAAACTTGCAAAACTTAATTTCAAAAAAGCAGTATCTCATGTCTTTCTAAGCACATGTTTGGTAAAAGGTAGTGCAAGAAGGCACTCATCATTTAAAGCCTTATGAACTACAATTAAAATGTAAACAGCATTTAACCTTTCTATCGTTTAACAGTGAAGTGTGTCTGTCTGTCATGTATATAAGAAATAGATAAATTATCTTTATTTCTCTGGTACTACTTTTTTACACACAGCACGGAGGCGATATTTTTTATTTAAATCAGATAAACCACTTTTCTTAGATTCAGGTTTTTGCAAGTATTTTTGTATTTGTTGCAAAAAAGAACATTCCTCTGCACTACAACTTACTTTAAACTGGATTTTGCCATTCAAAAGATATTTTAAATTTTGCAAAACATTTTACTTTCTCTTCCGAAATTTATCACATTTAAGGTAAATATTTTTATTGTAATTCTTTTTTATTTTTGCTTATATAAGTCGTTAAAAAGTAGGAATTGTTATTGCAAATCGTTGATCATTTTACATCGTGAGTTTTGTCGTTATATTCATTTTTGCGTACTTTCACTTTGGACCCACCTAGTGAAAACAAATATGGCTGGCAATTTTGAATCACCTCAATACAGAAGAATATAACTATTTTAATAGAATCCATTTTTATTACAATTCTTTATTTTTTTAATAGTTTGCTAAACAGATTTTATTTATCATGTAATTCGTATTTATTTGAGAAGCTGGTTTATCATTATTGAATAATAGGAAAGAGAAACATACCTGCCGGGTACATTTTCAGCCATGTTTTTAATAATTTGACACTATGAAAATGAAACTAGAACATCATCTGAAAACCTGTGCGCTGTCACTAAATTTAGAATACCGAATCTTCCAATTTAAGTGTAGACAGAACTTCCCCGTGTCATATGACGAGTTTATAGAAAATGTTCCCGAGGGTTTCCCGATAAATTTACGTAACTAATAACACGTAATGTATAGTGACTTTCACGATTTCAATCATATTGTAAATTGTCATTATTGCCGAATTTTATTGTGAATTATTAAACATATGCCCTACTTTGAAGTTCTATATAATAAACCCAGGTGTATTTTTAAACACCTGTCATTAACACAAAGTATAACGTTGATAATAATTGGAAACCCAAGTAAAATTTCCGCCAATGCCTATTCATGGAAACTAATTCGTGTCAAGTAGGAATTACAAGGAATTCTACTTTTCCTTTACATCTCGGGAATTCTAACTTAAATTTCCAAATCCATGAATGCATATAACACTAACGGACATTGTTTTTTAAACTACTGTAATAATAGGAAGCCTGCCTAAGAAATGGATCAAAAGAAAGTTAAATCGAGTAACAAGTGTTGGTCAGTTGAAACGGGAAAAGAAAAATATATTGCTGGAATGGTTCTTAGTGCTGTCGGAGATGCCCTCGGCTACAAAAATGGTGCATGGGAATTTTGCACGCGAGGTGATAAGATTCATAGAGAGTTAAAAGACATGGGTGGTATTAAGCGTATTGAGGTTAGATTACCTGACTGGACAGTTAGTGATGACACGGTGATGCATTTAGCAACTGCAGACGCTCTTGTGAGACACAAAAAGTGTGAAGATAAAGAAAACCTCTATTCACTTCTTGCAGATGAATACCAAAAGTGTATGAATGATATGACAAATCGTTCCCCTGGTGAGACTTGCATGGATATGACAAGAAGGTTAAAGCCTTTCAAGGAAGCTGGATATCGTATTCCGTTTAATCCGAGAGGTGGTGGGTGTGGAGCAGCCATGAGGTCAATGTGTATTGGACTGAGATATCCACGACCTGCTGACATTGAGGATCTTATCGAAGTTAGCATAGAATCTGGAAGAATGACCCATCATCACCCAACTGGATATCTCGGCTCACTTGCTTCTGCCCTTTTCACTTCATATGCTGTTCAAAAGAAACCAGTAATCGAATGGGGAATTGGGCTGATTAGATGTCTAGAACTAGCTAAGCAATACGTTTCTTCGTGCAAGGGCATTTTCGTGGAAGAAAATATAAAAAACTGGGGCTATTTTGAAAACAAGTGGAAGGCATATTTGAGATTGAGAAACATACAAGAAGGGGTGAATAAGCCATATTTTCCAGGAGATTTTGATAATGTCGTTAAACGAGATCAGTTTTACACAATGATTAGTTACGACAACTGGGGAGGGGCAAGCGGACATGACGCCCCGATGATAGCGTATGACGCATTACTAGCCTGCGATGGTGAATGGAGTACATTATGCGATCGAGCCATGTTTCACGGGGGGGACAGCGACAGCACTGGCGCTATTGCAGGTTGTTTGTTCGGTGTTTTGTATGGGTCCAGTGATGTTCCAAAGTGCAATTATCAACATGTCGAGTACCATGACCGAATCGAAAAAGTAGCTGTCGAACTTTATGAGTTAGCTGTTTCAAAATAATATGTGAAAGAAACTGCTTAATATTTTCAATTGAAAGACATTTCAAACACTTTTGAAACAATAATTGTGTTCCTTAAATATGTTCGCTTTCAATATGCCTCCATTTATAACCATACAAGTATATTACAGATTTATTGATGAAAAATATTAAGACTGTTCTCATGAAATCATATTATTCTTTCTTTTTATAAAGGCAAATAATATTTGGACATGTTTAAGAAAAAAGTACAGTAAAATTGAAATTTGATATAAGAAATTCACATGCTATCATTGATGTTTTAATGCTTTAAGTAAACAATTTTATTCGTCCTTTATTTCTTTCAAGATTATAATAAAAAAATGCCTTATCATATATATTTATATATCAACACAATTAAATAATATTTAAAACAATTATCTATAGTTAATTCAGTGATCTTTTCAAGCATGATTCTGTAAGCAAACTTGAGGACTATATACCTTACTGTTTGAGAATAAATGTTTTAATCATGCATTAAATATATACATAAACCAAACATGTTTCTTGTGGTTTTATTTCTGGACATTGTTATTGGTCAATATAAAAAGTACATGTTTAATGACATGCATGAAATTCAATTTTGAATTTATTGAATTCGTTGAATAAAATAAAATATTATGCTCGCCAAAGGCTCGCATAAGATATCTTTACACAACTCGTTCAATAAATTCAGTAATGAACTCATTCAATATCATCGATATATTTAACCATTGTTACATTATCTTGCATTAATCCAGTTTCTTTATCTTAATCAAATTGTAATGTATGTTGTATTAGAGCTGAAACTAAATGATTTCTGTGGTAATTTTGAGGAATTTCAGAACCAGGCGTAAATGCATCTTTTCTTATTCCCTTGTTAAGTTACGTAAGTCACATTGGATTATTGAGTCACAAAAGCTTTAAAAATCATGCAAAGCGCATACCACCTACCACTTAACTTTTTGATGGGAGTAATCCATAGGTCGCTTGTTTGATCATCGGGAAGCGAAATTTATTCATAACAAATATTTTATGACACCAAGTGTAATTGTCTCTCACCGCTGATTTCGGAATCATGTGGGACCAGTAGTCGGTCGTCGATATGAAAATTACTGGCTTCTGGAAAAGATGGTCAATAATGTGATAACATCGTTGTAAAACCCTCTCTCTACATACTTTATGTAACACTAATGTAAATAGTATAACAAAATTAGTTCTCTTATTTTGTTTCTATACAGTTAAACTTTCAATTTTTCAGAAGTGCTTAGTTTATTTGGGAATTTTATGGCATATCTATATATTATGTCAAATGATAGACAATTGCAGATAATATAATAACATATTCATCTTTTAAGTACTTTGTGTTTGATTTCAGTTCACTGAGCATAGTAACTCAGAACAAGACATTACCCATAATTCTTATAATGATGAAAGAAAATGATGTTATGTGATTATGCCTGAATGAATGAAAATGTACAGTTAGTTATTCACTACAGTGATTACAACTGTGTTTGAAAATATAGGATGAGTATACAGATAGGCAGTAAATTGACCTTATCTACATATTATTGTAATTAACAACGATGGCCTGACACTTTGACAAAACACAATGTTGTGTAGTACAAGAGTTTTAGCTACGTTTTCAAACCGACTTTGGTAATAAAGTGCATAGCCCTGGTGAAGTTAGAAGTGTTGACTGAAATGTGTTGTCTGGTAAATCTTTACATAGTATATATATATATCAAAGAACTAATCTGCCTCTGGACTGTATATGGGTACATAAAGCTCTAGCTACAAAAAAAGATCGCCGTGTCAAAATCTATGACAACTGATATCAAAATTCAAATCTGCACCCAAATCTTTGGAGTTCATGTTTCAATAATGTAGCTTTTAATACAAAAAGCAGTGACGTGGTCATAATTTAGGTCCAAGATATATGCACCATGAACTCTGCTCTTAGCCCAACTGTTATAGCTGTTTTTTTACATGAACTCTGCTCTTAGCCCAATGTTATAGCTATTGCTCTGTTTACACGATGTATGTCAGTGCATCAAAATAAATTTCTGCATCTCAAATTATGCTCATAGTCCATATTTCATAGTATCATCTCTTTTTGTAAGAAGTAGATCACTGGGTAAACGTCAAGGTCAACATATTCAAGAAATCAATTAAGCATATTTTAATGCCCATCTAACCAATATTTTACAGCTGTAGCTTTAATAACACTAAAGTTCATTGGTAGAGGGGACAGGTTTATTTTACCCAAAGGCTATTATTGTAAAAGCATGTTTAAGGTTCAATAATTCGTGCCAAATTGGACAAATGGATGTACTTGGTGCGTCTTAAAAATTTATTTGGATGTACTTGGTGCGCCTTAAAAATTTATAAGTTTATAGATAATACAGTGGGACTTCTTCTTGGAAGGCTTTATTTAGTTGTGTCCTCATTATACGTGTTTTTATTTCACGGAAACATAAATATAATGTTGACTGCATTACTTCTAGGAAGTAAAAATGGGATTGTTAATCTTTTGATATGGCTTCTTTCTTAAAATTATAGATAAACTTATGCTCGACTGCGTTCGCTTCTTTTCAAAGGACAAATGTGGATATGACCTTGCCGATAACAAGAATGACGTGAATAATTTGTAAAACCATGTACCTATTACAAATATATCGCATATAAGATATCGTGCGTATCTTTATATTTTTCCATTTTTTTCAATTACACGTTAACAAAAAGATCATTTTCAGCACTCAGGAAAAACTAACACAATTTAATCATAATACTCACAAGAAAAAACTTACACAAATAAACATAAAAATATCAGCTTTATTTTTTCTTGTCAAATTGTTTATGAACCGGTAACAGGACTGGCACTTCATTAACGAGAACCAGGAAAAGCGGCGAACTTTAAAAGATGTATTTCATTTTTTTTAACATTAAAATTTACCCCGTTGTGGATTTATAAATTTTAAACGTTTAAAATCTACTTAAAAAATTATGACCGAATCACACGTACAAATTTGCCTATTTTTAAAACTGATATATAATTCACAGGCGAATTTTCGACATTGAAACCCTATGAAAGCTAGGCTAGAAAATAAAGAGTAATGGTTCTTTAACACTGCCCTTTGTCTTTATTGTATTTATAACTGTTTGAAGTTTCAATTTAAAAGCATTGATGGTTAAAGGTTATAATCAAGGTAAAATGTTTAAAATTATTAAAGGTACTCTAGTGTTATGGTTCTGGAACACTGCAAGCACACCACTTGTAACCTATAACTGTGCACCCTTCAAAAAAAGTACGGGCGGCGTTCGATGAACGCATCCCCCTACTCAGGACCATCGGTAAGTAACCTAGCAGAATATCAAGCAGGACAAAGTACGTGAACAAACGGTTATTTGAGAGTTCTGTCAAGCATAAGTAAGTACTATTAAGGGAGAAAATAGGCAAGTTTAAATTTGGTCATGGTGTTGATGATTTTTATACAGAGTTATGCCCCTTGATGAAATTTTGAGTTTCCGTTCATTATCTCCCCAACAGTTGTACAACTCAAATTTTAGATATGGAAATGTCACAGGAATGCGCAGGTCAAGTGCAATTTTTGTCATGGTTCAATGATTTTTGGCAGAGTTATGCCCCTTTCACTTTGAAAATAATATGAAATTTTCAGTTTCAATTTATTATCTCCCAACAGTTGTACATATTCAACTCAAATTTAAGATATGGATATGCCAAAGGAATGCGCAAGTCAAGATCGAATTTAGTCATGGATTAATGATTTTTGGCAGAGTAATGCCCCTTTCACTTTGAAAATAATATAAAATTTTCAGTTTCCGTTCATTTTCGCCCTTACGTTATTACACATTCATCTCAAATTTCACACATGGATACCCCAAAGGTATGCACAGATCAAGTTCGAATTTGGTCATGGTTTGATGATTTCTGGCAGAGAAATGCCCCTTTAACTTTGAAAAAAAGGAAATTTTCTGTTTCTGTTCATTATCTCACCCACCAGTTAAGGGATTCAATTTTTTACTATATAATACCAGGACATTTTAATTGGTGGTGCTATCAATCAACGATGCATTTGCTATGCACCGTTTTATAAACTCAATAGACAGTAGAATTGTATAACGCCCTTTCCGACGATCAATTCGAAAACTGATATATTTGTTTAAATAGTGCTAGTTTTGCATTTTTCCGAATTCTGAATGAACGGAATTTTTGTTAGTTAACGTGTAAATGATATAAAAAATACAAATAGATACGATGCACAACATGCGATATGCTTATGTTAAACAAGTGTTTATAAGTTGATCAGCAAGGCCATATCTATAAAACCGTACGAAGTCGATCATAAGTTTATCTATAATTTTAAGAACGAGACCCCATCACAGATTACAAATTTCATTAATACTTCATTGAAGTAATGCGGTCAAGAATATATTTATGTGTCCATGAAATAAAGACACGTAAAATGAGGACACAACCAAATAAAGACTTCCAAGAAGAAGTCCTGAAGTATTTCCCATAAACTGGCACGATATCCCGTTTTCATCGACTTTTAGGCTTTCCTTGATGATCTTGTTTATCATATTTCGAACGTTTATCTTAAACTAATCTGGGATTTTTGTTTCATAATCAAATCTGAAATAGATTTGTCCTAGATATTTTCAAGCTGTTGGTTCAAAAGTCCCAAGTGCAGAACTTCATATGCTGATTTGCTGACTCTAGCTCAAGCACTTGATACACGTAACACAAACTTTTTGAACGTTTTCGCGAAGTCAAGGACAAGTATTCTACAAATAATACTGATTATATATACAAGCAAAACCTTAGGTTCACAATTGCACATGCTGACAAATATTTCTGTAAATTCTCATGACTGAGTGACTGTATTCAAATACTTTATGAGCTACGCGCGACAAATTGAAAATTGCAATTTTTGCAATGTTTGGGGAGGCATGTTAATACCGTCCGTCAAATCTTACTGCCGCGGTAATCAGGTCAAAAAATAGTACCTTGATTTTTTCTAAGCTGACTCATCACTCATCACAGACATTTACAATATGAAAATATTTTCATTCTTTAATTTCATATCTGCAATTTGTAAAGATAATAATTCTCTGAAAAATTCTTGATGTTTGTTTGTTATTTTTTCAAAATCACTACTCCGTGACGTCATACTGCCGCGGTAATCAGGTTTAGGCATACATACGTCTGTAATAAATAGTTATGGTATGAAAACCCTTCTACATAATAACTTTATCAATAATTGTTTAACAAAAAGCATAAATGAACATTTATAAGTAAATGCTTTAATTAGGTGGCAAATATTCTTTATTTTTTTTTTTATAACAATTTTCCAATTACTACGCAGCGACCAACTGTTTACTAGAACGTTGCAACACCGTAGTCTCAATATCATGCATGTTCTTTTGTTGATATAAACCATTAATAGTCCTTAATATTTTTTAAAGACAAATAATGGTAAATTGTCGCTTACATCAGAGACATGGTTCGTGCTTGCGTGATAACTAAGGAAAACTAACTTATTAGTACACCCTAGGAGGCTGTACGCGGAAAACGCTCATAAACCGCTATATCATATAGCTGTAAAGTTGAATAGTTAAATGAAGAAATATGTGTTCAAATATGTTTAACAAGGAAATAATTATTTCAGAGAAAGACGCCAAAGATCAGTCCTTCAATCAAATGAATGACCCCGTATTGTGTAATTAGAAAGTTTATTCAATTCTAGGGCAACGCATCATAATTTGATAGTCCATGTGTAATAAATTCAAATTTTTCAACACAGATTATGAGATACATAAAAAAATATTAAAGAATAAGAAGCTTAAAAAAACAAAAAAAAACGCATATATATACGAATGACTTACAGTCGAGCATCGGGAATCCATCAACATATCTTACGAAAACTTTAAATTTGAAAACGATTTTTGCGGCGGGCTGAAGTTGATTAATGTTTATTTGAATAAATCAAATAAAACAACTTATATGTTTGTGTTCTAAAAAAATCGGCGGCAATAAGAGGAATTTCGTATTCATTTTACAACACTTGAAAAATACTACAGAAAATGTGTTTTTTTTTGTTTTGTTTTCAACAAAAGTGTGTGTGTTTTTTAAGTTTATTTTATACTCGGGGGCCGGAATAACCATATGTCCGAAGATTATAGCATCGGGGACGTCTTTTTCAAGCCGAATCTTCCTGGTAGCCCATTCTTCGTTCGTTGGTGGAATAAGGAGACAATACTGTCAAGGCATCAAAACTTCCTGACTGACGACAACAAAAAACGGCATTCATTAGCGCCAAACCTCCAGAGTAAGTAACGACAGGTCAACCAATCACCTCTGGTACTTGAGATGATTGACCTTGACCTGCGTGTGCCTTCGTCTCCGCGACGTGCACGCCTCTGGAGGCAAATTTTGGAGAAGTTTTCAACAAAAACTTCCAAAACACGCTATTTATAACACCATTCATAGCACTGACGCTTCGATTTCTCATCTATTTTGCGGGGAAATGGTCACAGGGAAAACCCTACGTAATAACGGCGCACACCCTGTTAACAATAGATTTTCCGCAGTTATATTCAAAGCTAGTGAGGTTTAAAAATACATGTAGAATCTATCTTATTAACTACCATAAGTTTGGTTGAGTGTTGGCGGTAAAAAAAAAAAGATATAACTTCCTGATCAATTTTCACTTAGGTGGATTCAATTTTGAATAAGCTTTGCAGATATGTATTTTTCAAGAAATATTTAGTTTTAATAAATATCCGAAGCCGTCAAAGTCAGCGACGAGTAATGAAAATGGAATAATTTTCTGAAACGTGATTTTATTCTTTCTGTCCGTAGAGCATGAATATTAATACTTCATCACAAGACAGTATCTTATTGAATCTCAATTTAAATGAACAGTCGCATACTTTTCTGGTATGTCATTTATAATTGACAGTTTAGGTTTTTCAAAATTTGCAGGATTAGCAGTCCGAATGTAAGACCTCAATGAAAATGTTTCTGGAATATTAACAAATGAATAGTCAACCAATTAACCATATATATGAATGGTTGAACACAACGTAAGGATAAATGACACAATGTGCACATTTCTTATTTTGGTAATAATTGAAATAACAGCACATTTTAAGCAAAAAAGAAAAGAAACTATAAGTCTGAAACATTCTGTCATAGCCTCCCCATCAGTACATTCAGTGCTTTGATTCTACTAAGTCTATTAAATACAGAATAAATGCACAAGCTTACACCTTGTACACAACTGCACATTCTGATCAAATTCCTGTAATGTTTCGTGACTGTAGATGAAATACTGTTGCAGCCATGTGCGACGCAAGATGAATTATTTTTTTCTAAGTCAAGGAAATTCATTGTCACAAAACTTAATTAATTCACAAGCTAAAACCCCAGGTGCAAAATTTTACATCCTAATTAACATAAAGGTAATGTTTGTTGACTTAAACTTAAGCATTTTAAATGGTAAACGTGACAAACATTTTGCAACGGATGCACGAACAAAAGAAATTCTGAATGCCCTCCCCACAGATGGGGCATAAAATGAAAGGACATAATATAAACTCCTTTTTTGACTCTTGTCTTAATACTGTCTCAAAACGTCGATGTTTATGTTCTATAGTTGCCAAGGAGAAAGTTCTGTTAACATCGCCTATCAAAATTCGTATAACAAAATTTACTGTACACGTGTATATATACGAACATATGACCCAAATTAACAATAATTATTTCGTTTATGAAATAACTTTAACAATCTAGCAAAAATGTTCTCTTAAAATATTCTTTTTAAACTTGACAGACATCATTTTAATGTGGATCAAGTAACTGTTGATAATTACGCAAGAAGCTTATTATTTTTGCTGATTGATGCGCTAATAAGGTAGTGCATGTAGTCTTACTTATTGTACTACGCGTTCAATTATTGTGATGTTTTTCTTATGAGCAACATTCTGACCCAGGACAAAAAAATCCCAGAATCTAACTGAGCATAGTATTTTTGTTGGCTTCATGTATTTGGCTAGAAATGGAATATTATTTTTATATTCATGGCTGAACGGCGATTCAAATCATTTTTGGAAATGCTTATACTTGTTGTTCAATTACAAAGAAACAAAATGTCTTTCTAAGCCATGCTTTTGATAAAAATTCAGACAAAACACGGAAATAAAATACATTAGTTTCCATTTTTGTAGTAAATGAACTAGGCATAGTCGTATACGTTATCAATTATAGGTTATAGTGATAAAAAATTACATATTATATCCTAAAGTCTTGAAAACGTGACTGTGTTTCATTTGATATCAAATATCATAAATCGGTCATATAAAATCGATAATCTAAGGCAAACGTAATATTTTATTGATAAAATGCAATGCTTGTGTATGATTCACGTAGACATATATTTCTAACAGGTGTAATAAAACTAAATTAACAACGATAAACATAGGTTACTCAGCCCCTAAAGCATAATTTCAATACACACACATACGTAAGGTCGTATCAATAAAAACAATTAAGTTAGGTCGTATCAATAAAAAACATTTAAGTTAAGTCTCATTAAAATTTACACTTGTATTAGGTCTATCGATACACAAACTTCAGTAAGGTCGTATCAGTTCACTCCCTTAAATAAGGTCGCATTATTCGAGGAAGGCCAACGTTGCTTAGGATAGAAAATGCCCGATCAAGCAAAACATAAGATTACATACTAGTATAATAGCCGAACGCTATGAAAGAGTAGAATTCGTATCAGCCGAATAAAATTAACGGATACACGAGCTGGAAGAGAAAACTTAAACCTGAAAAATAATTTAACTTTTTTAGAATTTTGAAAAAAAAACCTATTGCTTGGTTGACACCGTAAGTTCAAAATTCCACATTTTATCATTTCATGTTAAAACGTTGAATCTGATTAAGCCGGTGCACAGGGGTGTGGGCGGTAACTTGCATTTTCCATTACCGTCCATGAACAGACTGGCATGTTCTAATGACATTCTCCTTAATGTTTCAGGAGTCAATGCCAAACGATGCGTGGAATGTTACAACAGGGATAGCTGTTAAAAAGATACCATGTTTAATAATTCAATCCACTCATCGTCATCGCTTGTTCTGTAAGGTGAACCATACAAAATTGGAGACATGTTCTCTTCACCAATAAATCTTGGTTATGCATAGACTTTACTGACAAACGGGCGAGACTTGATGCAAGAATGGGTTGCCATTCCCACAAGGACAGTCTGAAACTGCATGACAAGGCGTTGTCAATCAGTTGCCTTTAACAATGGGTCACATAAACGTTACTGAGTTTGAACTTGTTTACATAAATGTGGCTGTAAAGTTTGGAAATACGTTGTGTGTTCCAAAATATTGGATATAGGAGTACTTCTACTTCTTTAACACATATTGTAACTAATGCAAAATCAGTAAAATGTTTAATATGCCCTTCAACAAAATTTATTTAACATGAGATTAACATTTAAAAACATTGGTACTACGATAATTAAACCATTGCTGAAAATATCCACACTTACACATTTGGTGCTTTGTAAACATTAAGTAGTACCGTTTCGATTTGGCTCATATAATAACTGGTCAATAAACGCATACATTGTAATCGATATAACACAAAATTGTTCACTCCATCATGCTTTCTTAAAAAGAAGGATTTAAGCAGTTAATTATTTAATAGATATTATGATGCTATGTAAACAGTGGTATACTCTACAATCATCTAGGTTTTAAATATTGATTAATAAAAGCTTGTTCATCGTGTATATACGTGTATACATAATATATATATTCATCATATATAGCCAGGCATGGATTAACTTGCTTATCTTGGTTAATATGTTTATCAACATAATTGAATTTCCGTTACTTTTGCCAAAAATAACTAAAATAATGTTGTTTAAAAATATCAATTATAAATTAAACTAAAAAAGGGTATCAAAACCAAAGTATTAACAGGGTTGTCTATAAAATATTTAATTAAGTAAACTTGAAATAGAAAATTACACGTTCGAACATTTAACTCTCTATTACTGGTTCAATTTATATTTTAAATGATTTATTACGTAAATTATCGAAGAAAAATTATTATTTATTTAGGGTTGAAACCTCCCCCCCCCCCCCCAGCCATGCCAACATAATCTAAGATTTAGTTTGGTAGAAGCTTGAGATAGACGTGGGTGTCCGAACCCTTTACAGATCTTCCCGTGACTTGAAACTTGGCACCAGCTGGGTAGGTTCTCTCATGCTCCATGTACATGGCATATTTCTCAATATTTCGAGGCTGCCATTGACTGTTGGCTCTGTTATCAATTGTGAAAATAACTGATTGTTCACCCTCTGGTCCGCATGTCGGGAAAGGTATAGCGTTTCTCATTTCAGTGGACGACGATACGACTGACTGCCAAACAAACCGTTTCCCATTGACATATTGGTCACAATTTGCTTTTGTCAACAACATTTTCCTGTACGTCGTTCTACTTTCGCGTGGTAAATCTGACCAAAATAACAGAAGCATTTGATACATGACAGCGTACGGTCCAAGCGACAGATCATTTCCAGTTGGTAAATATGACGTCTCCCTTTGTCTTCGAAACGCAATATTTAAGTACGTGTACATATAGTTCTCCTCCATCGTGTACGTGTTTATAATTGCTTTGAAGAAATCATTGCGGCTTTGGCTGCTCTTTATCTTCGTATAATTTTCTTCACAAACCACGAAAACGGCATCGCAGACTTTATCTCTGACTTCTTTCCAACGAGATTCTGATCGATTTATGTCGTTGAAAATGTCGCCAAGGACCGTAACAACGGATTTGTTAGGGTCTATTGTTGTGGGGTGAAACGTTTTCTTATACGCAGCAAGCGAAACAGTTATCAGCCCAAGACTTTCCGCCTGTGTATAGTTGTCAACAGACTGAAATGTTGGTGTCTGTTGCGCTGTAACTGCATTTTTGTGTGTGGATAGAATACCTGACATCCCTTTATATCCGTATGCCTTGGCAATCTGCTCAGCATTCATTCCATCTGTCCTGCCACATTCAGATGTGCACTGTTTAGCAAGTATATTCTTATCGCATGCTTGATATCTTAAAAGCTTTCGCATGATATCTTCTTTGTTCCAATAAACTGCTTGATGTAATATTCCCCAACGTCGATTTTCTGGAATAACGTTGAAAAGCCTGTCTCTTAATGGCCTCTCGGGCTCTCCAAGAATCCGCCAGACGTTTTGCCATTGACCCGCTTTTGCCGATGATAGAAGTACTTCTATTAACTTGGCGTCATGTTCGATTGTGTTTTTTTCAGATCTGAGTAAGATAAAGATATCATATCATTTTTACTGGAGTTAAATATAGGTATATATAGATATAGGGTCATATTTCTCAAATCTCACATATTCGCAATATGTACAATTTTTAATGTAATTATCATACCATAGATCCAGTTCTAGCATTGCTCTTTCGGTTCAGGGAAAAAGTCCAAGGAAATCAAAGGAAATTAAGAACTTGTAATACAGTTACGAAGGTCCTTAGCCTAGGGGAAAGTTTACATGAACACCACAATAGTAGTACTAAAGTTTAAAAACACAAAAGTAGTATGAATATTGGCTTTAAGTGCAATATCATCATATATGCAAAATTTGCACATGCAAAGCTACGTTAGTTATAGGAAAGTAATGAATTAACTTCTGTGAATGTGTCTGTGAAAATATGTTTGAGCAGTTTTATCACCGAAAAAGTACATAAAGGGAGGAAATTAAAATAAATTTATTGTTATATTGCAGTGGACTGTTTTCTATATACATTTTAAGTTTTTTTTTATTCGCATATCCGTGAATAATGGTGGACAGTCGTGCCAAATAATTTAAAAATCTTCGAATGAGATGAAAAGGTTATGACCCGGGCATAAATTTACTTTCTATCCCACAATATTGACTTTTGATTTCCATGTGAAACCTTGAAATAGCAGGGTCTGGGTGTGTGACATGACACGTCGCCTTATGTTAGTGATCGTTTGTCCCAAACTATTACAGAATCTCTTGGAGATAAAAAAAATACACCATTGCCACACAAAGTTGACCTTTGATCTCCACGTATGACCTTGAACATAAATGTTTTGGTCTGGGTGTTGGACAAGATATGTTTTAAATATGTATGAAAAATTAAGTCGACATAACAATCATACCGTAAAAGGCTTTTTAATTCATAACATACGACATAATTGAATACATTTATATGTCATCGCCCTAAATAACGACATATATCAACACAATTCAGAGACACAGTCCATAAGTTTTCCCTATTAATCATATACGTTGACGGATCACGGGATTCCCCTGCCCTCCCCACAACAAACAAGAGCTGTCACAGGAGACAGCGAAGCTCGACTAATAAAATACTGGACACAGTAAGGAGGACAAAACTATGAAAGAAAAGTCAATTATGTATAATTATGTATAAAGTTATAGTAAAAAAATAATATTTGTTAACATAAATTCCAAGATCAAGGGGAATAATTCTAGAAATAGTCATGCTAGAGTTATGGACCTTGTCACACAACATTTTAGTAATGATAAGAAATATATATTTGAAGTTTGAAGTAGATACCTTAAAAAGTAAAGAAGTTATTATATTTCTTAAAGAAAATCCTAAGTTCAAAGAGAGATAAATGTGTAAATATTGCTTCAAGAGTTATGAACATTGTCACATAAAATGTAATTGATGATAAGGAATAAGTATTTGAAGTTTGAGGTAGATACCTTTAAAAATAAAAAAGTTATAAAAAAAAAACATTTTTCTAGTAAAAAAATCAAAGTTTATGGGGAGATAATTCTTGCAATATTGGTGCTAGAGTTATTAACCTTGTCACATAAGATGGGGATGATGATAACGTAAATATATTTGAAGTATGAGGTGGATCCCTTAAGAAATAAGAAATAAAGAAGAAACAGTAAGAAATAGTACTTTTTGAGGAAAATTCTAAGTTCAAGGGGAGCTAAATCTGAAAATATTGGTGCTAGAGTTATGAACCTTGTCACATAAGATGGGGATGATGATAAGGTACATATATTTGAAGTATGAGGTTGATCCCTTAAGAAATAAAGAAGTAACAGTAAAAAATAGTATATTTTAAGGAAAATTCTAAGTTCACGGGGAGATAAATCTGAAAACATTGGTGCTAGAGTTATGAACCTTGTCACATAAGATGTGGTTGATGATAAGGAACATATATTTGAAGTTTGAAGTTGATACCTTAAGAAATGACAAAGTTGTAGTGAAAAATATTTTACTGCACCAAAACTTTAATCTAAAATCTGGACGCGGACGCCGACGCCGGGGCGAGTAGGACAGCTCTCCAAATACTTCGTATAGTCGAGCTAAAAATGGGGCACAACTATAGAAATACTCTTTGCAACGACCATATGATACATACAGGTTAACATATTCAGAACAAGATATATTTAAAACACACTTTATTTTTCTCAATTGGGAAAAACGGAGTGAGCAAATGATCTGGCATTTTATACAAAATTTACTGCTCTTAACCTACATCAAATGTCTAATTAATGTCGACAAAATATCTCCAGTCCCGTCAAGTGAGACAAATAAGAAATAAGTTCAGTGGAGTCCAATTAAAGAGATAACCAAATTAACAGATATTAAAAGGCGTTTGGCACATTTGTCAAATTATCAAAAATAATATCCCCTTTTCATCAAGAACAAAATTACATTACTATTCTAAGCTACATGTATACAACTGTCCAGTACCCGTTTATTAAATGTTACTATCCAGCACCCGTTTGCTACATATACATGTAACTTCTTTCAAGTATCTGTTTATTATATCATATTATAATATTATATTATATTTATATTATATTATATTAAGTAATACTGATGAAAAGGGGAAATAATTTTATGAAAGTTTGACCGTTATTGTCAAGACCATTGCGCTTAATTTCTTCGTAGGTATCTGTTCTAATAAAATGATTTACAAAAAAAGATTAAAAAGAGACATACCTGCTTATTACAGTGAAATTAGCCATTTCTCTTACTTCGTTACAATAAATAAGAAACTATGATATCTTCTGTTTGGTTTTCAGAAAACCGGCCGAATTCGTTGAAACGCTGCAACTAAAAATAGAAAACCGGATATTCCTAATTAAATATAGATAGATGGGACGTCACATATTATGTGTTCTATAAAATGAACCAAATAAATCGAAACTGTTCGCGACGAAGATTTGATAAATCATATTGGTAACCCAAGTTTAATTTTAACTAGGAAGTCATGTTGTTAATGTGTCACACTAGTGTTACAAGGAATTCAACTTTTCCGTTCTCATCTCAGGAATTCTACTTTCTGTTTCAATACCTTACTGAATGAATTCGGTTTGAATGATCAGTATTTAACGGACACTTGGTTTGCAAACAACTGAAATTATCGGAAGCCTGAATTAAGAAATGAATCGAATGAAAATGGAAACGAGTACGAAATGTTGGTCAGTTCAAACGGGAAGAGAAAGATATATTGCTGGTATGGTTCTTAGTGCTGTTGGAGATGCCCTCGGCTACAAAAATGGTGCATGGGAATTTTGCACGCGAGGTGATAAGATTCATAGAGAGTTAAAAGACATGGGTGGTATTAAGCGTATTGAGGTTAGATTACCTGACTGGACAGTTAGTGATGACACGGTGATGCATTTAGCAACTGCAGACGCTCTTGTGAGACACAAAAAGTGTGAAGATAAAGAAAACCTCTATTCACTTCTTGCAGATGCATACCAAAAATGTATGAATGATATGGCAAATCGTTCCCCTGGTATGACTTGCATGGAAATGGCAAGAAAATTAAATCCATTCAAGGAAGCTGGGTATCGAATTCCGTTTAATCCGAGAGGGGGTGGTTGTGGGGCGGCCATGAGGTCAATGTGTATTGGACTGAGATATCCGCGACCTGCTGACATTGAGGATCTTATCGAAGTTAGCATAGAATCTGGAAGAATGACCCATCATCACCCAACTGGATATCTCGGCTCTCTTGCTTCTGCTCTTTTCACTTCATATGCGGTTCAAAAGAAACCAGTAAGCGAATGGGGAGTTGGGCTGATTGGATGTCTGGAACTAGCTAAGCAATACGTTTCTTCGTGCAAGGGCATTTTCGTGGAAGAAAATATAAAAAGCTGGGGCTATTTTGAAAACAAGTGGAAGGCATATTTGAGATTGAGGAACATACACGAGGGTATAAATAAGCCACATTTTCCAGTAGATTTCGATAATGTCGTTAAACGGGATCAGTTTTACACGATGATGAGTTACGACAACTGGGGAGGGGCAAGCGGACATGACGCCCCGATGATTGCGTATGATGCATTACTTGCCTGTGATGGTGAATGGAGTGTATTATGTGATCGAGCTATGTTTCACGGCGGGGACAGCGACAGTACTGGAGCAATTGCAGGTTGCCTCTTCGGTGTTTTGTATGGGTTCAGTGATGTTCCGAAGTGTAATTATAAACATGTCGAGTATCATGACCGAATCGATAAAGTAGCTGTCGAACTTTATGAGTTAGCTGTTTCAAAATAATGTGTGAAATAAACCGCTTTATTCTTACTTACTTATGAATGTATTGACATAAAAAACATTCTCCATTTATTATCAAATCATGTTTATTACATATTGAGTATTGTTAAAATGTAAAGACACATAACTAGTCTTGTTGGATTTTCATTATTTCTTTTTATGGTAGGAAATAATAATTGTCATTTTTGTCGGAATGAATACACTGTAGTCAAAATTTGATGTAAGAAATATACATGTCATCATTGCTGTCTTAATGCTGTACATCAATATTCGTATTCACTTTTCTTTCATAAAAGAAGTATAACGATAAAAATGAAGAATGGTTCACTTTATATAAAATATGTACTTCATCTCAATAAAAGTGATATTCATATATGTATATAAAAATATTTTTTCTAGAAGTATCTTTTTTCCACAAGGTGTTGGTGACTTTTTTTCTGAACATTGTTGGTCAATGTGAAAAGTACCAGTTTTAATGATATGCAGAAAATATCCAATATTATTGAATTTCTTAAAGCCTGATATTTAATTTATCCCGTACTTCACTTCAGTGTTGTTATGTTTTTCTGGTCCTTCGGGATCATTAAGACAAGCATTTTTAATACTAGGGGGCGTGAGTGATGTTGTACTTATTATCCCTCATGTACAGAATCAGTCAAACCGAATCTGCAATTTTCCAGTATTTTCGCTGTTTTTAATGCTTCCGCGGGAAGCAATTTACGTTTATATAGTGTAATAATTATTCACGAATCTTATCATTTACAAATGCAATAGACCACTTGTTTTGATGGTCAGGAGCAGACATTTAATTGGTAAAAGAATTGCATTCTGTTAGTTTTTGCAATTTATCGTCTTAAAACTCATTAAATCGTTTGCGGTTGTCGTAGAAAACATGTCTTCTTAATGCAGCATGCCTCCAGATGAGCGAAAATATTTCAATAAATCAAACTTGTGAAAAATGTACTAAGATTTAGGCAAAGTAGAAAGATTCAAGATTCAAGTTATAATATTCATGTTATGATTGATTAATGGTGAATTTTTGGTATTTATAACTATATTTCTACTGCGTTCCTAACGCAGCAATGGCATGTTTTGCATATTTTGACCTCTTGTTGTAATAAACATGAGTTGTAAGAGACATTGATAATGTGTATAATGATTCCGTTTGGTTACTATACAATAACACACATTTTATTTAATTTTCAAAATTTTCATGAAAATTAGCACTAATCTGGAGGCGTGCTGCTTTAAGTTTTAGACTTTCAGGGTGAAACGGTTCACACGATTACAACAGATGTCTGTAATATCGTTCGGCGTTCTGAAAGGAAAAATAATTTGTAATGTCTGTGATGTTGTTCGGCGTTCTGAAAGGGAAAAAATAAACTGTTTAAGTCATAATGACATTGACCCCATTAAATGTTCGGTTTATAAAATGTGTCTATAAATCACTTGTTAAAATAAGGCCCTATGATATGACTCATAAACGAAAAAATTTGGTCACCTTGACCTCAGTGACATCAAAACCTATTAAGTGCTTGAACAACTTGAAAGGTGCATACGTTCAAAACAATTTTGTCATGGTTTATGCTGCTTGTGGTAACTTATGAAGAGATCAACTAGACAATGATGCTACAGTCTTAAGGTTAGCTTCATACAAGTATTTAGTATAAAACTTTGTAAAATATATGATCTCCGGACAGGTCAGTTTCTGTTCTTAGAGTCATAATTATTTCAAAAAGTAGGTAATGTTACATGTCGTTATGCAAGTCCCCTACCCCCCTCCCCCCCCCCCAAAAGGAAAAATAAAAAAAAAAAATAAAAAAATACCCAAACACACAAATGATCTGCTTTCGTAGAATTATAATAAGCTTTTATTTATAATATAAGTGACCTCAAGGGTAGGATAAATTTACCCTGGTGCATTATTAATATTACTTGTAGACAATCACACGACTACTTTTTGCTTGCCAATTAGCCTAGCTATATGTGCATTAAAGTTTGTTAGAAGATTTTTTTTTTAGTTTCTTTTTTAAGGAAATTATAGCTCCTTTTAAATACGTATGCATCAGGCTCGAACCACTTATACAGCTTTTAAAGAGGGCTGCATTTGAAGTTTAAACAATAGTTTGAGTATAAATGAGATTTGTAAATAAAGACAGAGGTAGCTTAAAAAGGGATAGCAATAAGCCTAAAACAGTAATTTATTTACAAAGTTATATAAAACGCTGACATGTTAAATAGCATATAATTGCAAGCATTCATAATATATGCGTTGCTGCATCGACCTTTAAGAAAATGACATATTTTGTACTTGTATTCATATTATCATTATGATTAACATAACGTGTGATAAATGCCAATTCTTTTTATCTGAACCTCTGTCGTCAAGTAAAGGCCTCAATAGACGGTATGATTTTGCAATACAACACCAATTAAAACTAAGATGTACAGGCGAATCTTACTGTGTGAAAGCTACTATTTCTTGAATTCATACAACTTAATGGATAGGATATGTACTTGTTGTACAGACCTCCCACGATGACAGGTCACGTATTTCCCAATTATCCCTTGATAATGTGTTTAATGAATGAAATTCCAGAACAAAAAGGGCTAAAAGGTTAACTTAGTAGTAAGATGGGGGTGAAAATGGCGAAGAAAAACTCTTCAAGAGACCGAAAGTTGTGGTATGTTCGAATCCTAAATTATTCAGAAAATGATTATGTCACGGTATTGAACTGATCTCTAATCAAAAGGTGGTTTTAAAGCGGCCGGATGGCAGTAGAGCCGCAGTACGGTATTCCCAGTGTATAAGGTTCGAGTCTCGGTCAGGCTGTACATTAATCTCGCCCTGTGACAATTAAAGACTTGTTTTTTGTTGTTGTTTGTAACAAATGGATGTATTTCAATCATTACTCATGGAGTGATTTTGTGAGTAAAGGATCAAATATTGGGAGGGAACTGTTTTTTTTAGGAAAACCTGATGATTCTTACAGTGCAAAATTACGGTCTGAATGCAAGAATTGCTTTGAAATTGTACATCATATCTCCTATTAGTGTTGTTCAACTAAATTCTACCGTCTGTTGAGGCCTTAAGTTCAACTTGCAGTAAACACATGGTAGAAAAAAAAACTTTTTATAACAAACTTGTTTTTTGTTTGTTAGTTTTGTTGTTGTTATTGACATTGCATGGACATGTAAATTAAAGCAAATTTAATTTCATCTGATAAGGGTCACCTGTTCGGTTCACATTCGTACACAACGCTACGAATATAACTTGAGTAGTGTAAAATGGGATGATTCAGATAAGCAAACATGATTAATACAGGTATATATATATATATTGGGAAAAACCAGTAACAAATGAGAAAGGGGGAATTCTACGCTGCAGTTTTTAGAAAATGCACTGTTTTATTTTTCATGGAATTTTACTCTTAATTTGGAATTCCATTAACCTAACAGTTGGATAAATACATATAACGTCGAGAAAAGAAAGTAGATTTATTTCGTTGTACAATACCATAATGGGTGCTTCAAACAGGTACGGTTCAAAACAAATAACTTTTTATTTATTTTTTTATAATATGTGTTAGTCTATCACCAAATAACATAGATGTTAATTATAAGTAATTATAATTTAAAGTTTAGTGTATTTGGTTGGTTTACAATTTGTGCACCAGATGCACCAGCTGATAAAGGTAACGATTCCGTCACAAGGCGCACAATTAAAAGTTTAAAAAAATCAATGTTTATGATTAAACATTTTACACATTTTTAAATTCAAGATTCTTGCTTTGACAACAAAAAGCTTTTTGAAAACTTTTTACTTTTCCATTTTTGGATTCAAAATAGTCGGTGCTTATCAATGTTAGTTCTCGCTGAAAAAAAGGGGGATTAAAAAGGGTCGGGGATATTTGGCAAACCCGACACCCCAAAGAAGTCATTTTTTAAATTTGTACCCCATAATGTGATGGGGAGTATTCATAAAGCAGTATTTTTGGAATGAGTTAATATTTTGAAGAAAACTTAAAATGAGGTATGCGATAGCGGCGCAAAGAGATGTACATCAGAATGGGGTGATACGATGGAATGTGTGCTCTAGAAATTGAAAGACCATCAAAAAATGGGATAAAATACTTGCAAAACACAAAAAAAAATACTTAATAAAAAATTTCCCAACTTTTAAAACCCAGCTTTTTTAGGACTCTTAAGTAACACAATCGCTGCGTATAAATCTACCTTTCATCCTGGATATATCAGCCCATACAAATCAAACATTGAAATTTGAATGATATCTGGAAGGACATAGAGAGCAAAACTGCAAGATTTGAAGCTGTAAAGAAACAAGTTTGCGATGCTATGCACATCGTGTCAACCAAAAATGCGGAAATGATAATGGGTACTACGACCAAGGAGAATTTCTACAAGATGATTGTAAAGGTATACACGATCGAGAAGAACTATCTTTACAATTATATCAGTATGGCTATGCGAAGACAAACAAGCATCAATTACAAGCCAACAGGAGATGACTTGGCCCTTGGACCATATGCTGTTATGTACCAGATGCTTTTGCTCTTTTGGGACAAAATAACCCCTGAAAGCGGAACAACGTACCGTCAGATGAAAATGATAAAGGAGGATGTATACATGTATACTGAAGGTACGGTTTTCTATTGGCAATCTGTTGTTTCATCAACAAAAGATCAGACAAACGCTCAAAGTTTTCCAACAGTTGAAAATGTTACAGGCGATAAGGTTGTTTTGTTTATAATAGACAACAGTACAAAATGTATATGGCAACCAAAAAATATCGAAAAATATGCCTCGTTTGACGAGAATGAAAGAACATATCCAGCAGGAGCCAAATTTAAGGTCATAAAGGCAGCAAACTTCAGTGGAGACCACTATCAAATAAAGCTACAGCTGTTGTCCGAGTAGACTAGTTGAACTTTGTCTTGAAATACAGTCATAGTATCCTAATTATTGACTGACCAAAAAAAAGCATATTCATGTATTATCTTATGTTAATACATCTTTATCGTATGAAATAAAGCATTTACAGAATTAATGTACAAACAAAAATGAACATGTTTAAGTTAGTCTTCATTGGAACAGTCTTAAATACTTTTATAATTTGTTCGACATTTCGATAGCAAATAACTTGATATATTTATGTTAAATGCTTGTTACATTATCTTACATTTTGCAAATTTCTGTATGAATTTTAAATTGTAAAGTATATTATATGTCTATATGTCTTTATTAAATGTCAAATATTTATTTCGTCTCATTTTATTTGAACTTAAAGCTATACACAGATGATTGTTGGGAAGGCTTGGGTGCATCTTTTCTCAATCCCTTGTTTGCTGTCTT